CCTCGAAGAAAAAAGTGACAAAATTGATTTTGACTAGGGTCGCCCCTAGTCCAAAATTGAAAATGTATTTCCTACTTGGTTCTTTGCTCAAACAAATTTTAAAATGTTTTATTTGTATTTGTTTTAAGCACTAGAATATTTATGAAAAGTTTCAATCAATTTGGATAAACCCTCGAAGAAAAATATGACAAAATTGATTTTGACTAGGGTCGCCCCTAGTCCAAAATTGAAAATGTATTTCCTCCTTTGTTCTTTGCTCAAAAAAATTTTAAAATGTTTTATTTGTATTTGTTTTAAGCACTCATGCAAAGTTTCAATCCATTTGGATAAACCCTCGAAGAAAAAATTGACAAAATTGATTTTGACTAGGGTCGCCCCTAGTCCAAAATTGAAATGTATTTCCTACTTGGTTCTTTGCTCAAAAAAAATTTAGAATGTTTTATTTGTATTTGTTTTAAGCACTAGAATATTTATGCAAAGTTTCAATCCATTTTTATAAAAACTCGAAGAAAAAAGTGAGAAAATTGATTTTGACTAGGGTCGCTCCTAGTCCAAAATTGAAAATGTATTTCCTACTTGGTTCTTTGCTCAAAAAAATTTTAAAATGTTTTATTTGTATTTGTTTTAAGCACTAGAATATTTATGCAAAGTTTCAATCCATTTGGAAAAACCCTCGAAGAAAAAAGTGACAAAATTGATTTTGACTAGGGTCGCCCCTAGTCTAAAATTGAAAATGTATTTCCTACTTGGTTCTTTGCTCAAAAAAATTTTAAAATGTTTTATTTGTATTTGTTTTAAGCACTAGAATATTTATGCAAAGTTTCAATCCATTTGGAAAAACCCTCGAAGAAAAAAGTGACAAAATTGATTTTGACTAGGGTCGCCCCTAGTCTAAAATTGAAAATGTATTTCCTACTTGGTTCTTTGCTCAAAAAAATTTTAAAATGTTTTATTTGTATTTGTTTTAAGCACTAGAATATTTATGCAAAGTTTCAATCCATTTGGATAAACCCTCGAAGAAAAAAGTGAGAAAATTGACTTTGACTAGGGTCGCTCCTAGTCCAAAATTGAAAATGTATTTCCTACTTGGTTCTTTGCTCAAAAAAATTTTGGAATATTTTATTTGTATTTGTTTTAAGCACTTGAATATTTATGCAAAGTTTCAATTCATTTGGAAAAACCCTCGAAGAAAAAGTGACAGAATTGATTTTGACTAGGGTCGCCCCTAGTCCAAAATTGAAAATGTATTTCCTCCTTGGTTCTTTGCTCAAAAAAATTTTAGAATGTTTTATTTGTATTTGTTGTAAGCACTAGAATATTTATGCAAAGTTTCAATCCAATTGGATAAACCCTCGAAGAAAAAAGTGACAAAATTGATTTTGACTAGGGTCGCCCCTAGTCTAAAATTGAAAATGTATTTCCTACTTGGTTCTTTGCTCAAAAAAATTTTAGAATGTTTTATTTGTATTTGTGTTAAGCACTAGAATATTTATGCAAAGTTTCAATCCATTTCGAAATCCCCTCGAAGAAAAAAGTGACAAAATTGATTTTGACTAGGGTCTCTCCTATTCTAAAATTGAAAATGTATTTCCTACTTGATTCTTTGCTCAAAAAAATTTTAAAATGTTTTATTTGTATTTGTTTTAAGCACTTATGCAAAGTTTCAATCCATTTGGATAAACCCTCGAAGAAAAAAGTGACAAAATTGATTTTGACTAGGCTCGCCCCTAGTCCAAAATTGAAAATGTATTTCCTACTTGGTTCTTTGCTCAAAAAAATTTTTGAATGTTTTATTTGTGTTTGTTTTAAGCACTAGAATATTTATGCAAAGTTTCAATCCATTTGGATAAACCCTCGAAGAAAAAAGTTACAAATTGATTTTGACTAGGCTCGCCCCTAGTCCAAAATTGAAAATGTATTTCCTACTTGGTTCTTTGCTCAAAAAAATTTTAAAATGTTTTATTTGTATTTGTTTTAAGCACTAGAATATTTATGCAAAGTTTCAATCCATTTGGAAAAAACCTCGAAGAAAAAAGTGACAAAATTGATTTTGACTAGGGTCGCCCCTAGTCCAAAATTGAAAATGTATTTCCTACTTGGTTCTTTGCTCAAAAAAATTTTAAAATGTTTTATTTGTATTTGTTTTAAGCACTAGAATATTTATGCAAAGTTTCAATCCATTTGGAAAAACCCTCGAAGAAAAAAGTGACAAAATTGATTTTGACTAGGGTCGCCCCTAGTCCAAAATTGAAAATGTATTTCCTACTTGGTTCTTTGCTCAAACAAATTTTAAAATGTTTTATTTGTATTTGTTTTAAGCACTAGAATATTTATGCAAAGTTTCAATCCATTTGGATAAACCCTCGAAGAAAAAAGTGACAAAATTGATTTTGACTAGGGTCGCTCCTAGTCCAAAATTGAAAATGTATTTCCTACTTGGTTCTTTGCTCAAAAAAATTTTAGGATGTTTTATTTGTATTTGTTTTAAGCACTAGAATATTTATGCAAAGTTTCAATCTATTTGGAAAAACCCTCGAAGAAAAAAGTGACAAAATTGATTTTGACTAGGGTCGCCCCTAGTCTAAAATTGAAAATGTATTTCCTACTTGGTTCTTTGCTCAAAAAAATTTTAGAATGTTTTATTTGTATTTGTTTTAAGCACTAGAATATTTATGCAAAGTTTCAATCCATTTGGAAAAACCCTCGAAGAAAAAAGTGACAAAATTGATTTTGACTATGGTCGCCCCTAAAAAAATTTTTTCATCCAAAGTTTAATTTAAAAAAAAATCACAGTGAACTTTTAATTTGAAAAATTCGTAAGAAAGGAAAGTTTTTTGCTTTTTCTGAAGCAACGGCTGTTCCTACCTTGCCTAAAAACAATACAGCTCTTCTATATGGCAGCACGGATCAAATGTAAAAAACTAGAAGTCTCTACAATGTCTCGTTATTGAGATTTTTTGCTGATTAACTTGCTTGCTTGTTTGCTTACAGAAAGCGTATTTTGCGATTTTCTCGGCAATGCCGTAACCAATTTGAAATCTGTTTTTTGAAAATGATGTAAAATTCAAGGCACAAACTTTTCATCTCTAAACATTTTAAGCTATCTTGCTCCATATCCTCACAAAATTCTAAAAACTGATTTTTCAATCTGAACAAAACCAATAGATTCACACGTGAAAACGGTGTGAATATAAAAAATTTAAAATATTTTATGACAATTTACATCGAGCAAATTTAAAGTGAAAGAGAGAGATGCGGAATGAAGATTATGTAAATCATCACATAGGAAGTGCAAAATCATTCTTTAGTTGATACATAATTCGAATCAATTCAAGCGGATTATGGAAATGTTATGATAATTGAAATCAGTATCAAGTTTTTTTTCGCTTAGCATAGAAAAGGGTGCAAAAAATCTTTTAATTTCCCACACATGAAGCTTTACTTTGTTAATAATTCAAAAAGTTATAAATAAATAAATTTCAGTTTTTTTTTTGAAATATTTTGGAAATTGATGAAAAATTGTGCAAACCCAAATTTTATGCTTACACAAAATGAAATGTAATTCAGAAATGAATTTTATTTAATTTGATTATTTATGACCTTAAACTTGTAAATTTTATTCAAAATGGATTAATTGAAGCATTCAACTGTTTATAGAGATAATTTTTCACATTAACCACAATGCACAGAATGCAGTCCCGTTTCCTCTACTTCTTTTCTATTATTTTATGCAAAACACCCCACTGCTGAAAATAAATAATGTAAGCAGCAGAACAATGACTTTTCAATCATGATATGACAAATCAATTCGCACCACTCTTTGATTACAGATGAAGCGTAAATTTCTGATGTATGTCAACTATAGAATATTGATTTTTTATTTCATGAAATTCTATTTAAGCATGCTGAATAAATAAAGAAATTAAAAAGAATTTTTCAGGTTTAAAGAATTTAGAAAAGATTGCGGAAGTGAAGAAACATTTTTTTTTAAAAAAAGAAAATCAATTACATTTGTTCAATCTACCTATGTATGATTAAATGTTAGAACATGCTTGTGCCACTCTCACATTTTTTATAAGATTATGATACTGCTGCATCTTTAAATAAAACAGTGATGATAAGAATGAGAAGTGAAAAAGAAGAGCAAATTGATACATGAACTAAGAGGAATACATACGTTGGTCAGTGCATAACACATGTGTTTCATATTTTGATCTTTTATATTCATAATGATGATCATCACTGGCAATATAGAAGAAAAAAAAAGAGATAAAATGCTCTATAGAAGTAAGAAAGATCCAGCTGAGAAAAGAAAAAAAAAGAAATGAATGAAAAGATGAGAGAGCCAGCTGCCTTTATAAAATCGTATATGCGGAAAATTACTCTTTTTCCAAACTGAAATAATCGCACGCTTAACACTCACACAACGATAGACGGACTCCTGTTATTTGAAGCCGCACTTTAACAACATTTGAAACACAAAGTGAATCATAATGTGTAGAAGGCAAGTGAGCAAGCACTGAAACCATGGAGAAAGAATTTTTCCCACTGAAATTGTGAAGAGACGATGTGATAGAAATGCTTCACAGAAAGCAGAGAATCATTTTATGTTTAACATCGGTAAAGAACGGTCGTATTTTTTCAACATTGCGCACTGATATTAAGAAGGTCAATAAGTAATAATAAGTTAAGTTATGATTCAAAAACAAACGTATGTTATGTGAAATACAAGTTAATCGGGAAAATAATGAATTAGCATAGATCAATCTGCATAGATCTTAAAACATAAAAATTGAGAAAATAAATTTTAAAAGATTATTAAAAACAAAAAAAAAGTTCTCTAAAGAGAAGGAAATTCTCATCAAGTGATTAAGTTTTGATTCTGTAAGATTTAAAAGTTCTGAGTTTAAAAGAGTTGGAAAATAATTTTTTTAATTCTTCTGGAAAAATTTGTTTTTTTTTTGAAAAATATCTGAATAAATGAACATAAAATAACAATCATGATGGTATATGGATTAAAAGCACTTGTTCTAGTGGTATGTACTATTTTTTTAACTCTTCTCTCATTTCTTTTTACACTATACTACGATTATATTTACCGTCATTTGAAAAAAATCGGAAGCGTGAATCAAACGTTAATAAATGGAAATGAAAGATAAAGTTCTATATCATAACTAATTATTATCGATCATTCATATTCACAGTTTAATCAATCGCGTAAATTAACGGAAAATCAAAAATTTCAATCAATCGTCAAGTGCCTATTCTTTAATTTCAATTCTCTAAATGGGACTGGGTCAGTATACAATGAAGCATTTAGTATGCTTCTTGAAATTAAAAAATTATTGGAAGAAACACTTCTTTTTTATGACTTTCTTTCTTTATTTTTGCCAATTCAATTTAACCGTCTTCCGGACTCCTTAAATGTTTTCAAGCGTCAAATTTATGTCATTGTGTTTCATTTAGCATGTAAGCAAAATAATTTTTGTTGTAAACATATTCTTGTACCTATTTGAACATTTCTCGCGATAATGAACGAATTTTTGAAAGCATCTTTGAGAAACATCATGAACTAAGACAACATTTTCATTATCCATATTATCATCTTTCCATACTTTTTGGAAATATATATACACTGGCTTTTAGTTCACTCATTACTGTAAATATTCCATTGTGAGAATCAGAAGAGCTATTTCTATGTGAATGATGGCATTAAAATGTTTTATGCACACTTAGTGTATGGTAAAGAACAAATACTATGGAGATGAAGAAAAGTACCTGTTTTCCACGATTTCATTGTTTTTCAATATTTTTATGACTGACTGTAATTTTTTTTTGAAGTTATTCCATTCTTCAAAAATAGGAAATGATTGCATTTTTTTTTTGTTGTTGTTGAATAAAACCGCTTTTGAACAGTTGAGAACAGATTTGGAATGAATCATTATCAAAAACCATTAGCATGATTACCGCAGTTATTCAAGGGCAATTGGAATTAAATCTCAAACGGAAATTTTATTTGAATGAACATTTTATTTTTTATTTAAGTAATATTTTGAAGAGAAATTTCTAAGAGGCAATAGATCGTCATCATCACTTGTAATTTATGTGACGATGAAGAAATAAAATTTTATTTTTCTAACGCTTGCATTCATCTTTTTCATTTAAGTTTTGTTGTGCATATTAAACCGTTATAACACTATTCCCATAAAGCTCAATAAATGATTATTAAATTTAATAAATTTCTAAAAGCAATACTAACCTCTTCTAGTAAGTAAAGTTAATATGATATGAAGAACGGATTTATTTCATCTGACGGATCTAACCACCAGATTCTCGAACGTTATCTTCACGTTATAAACAGTATTTTTTTCTCTCAGCACACTTCTACCTATTTACTGACTCTGTTTGATGGATAATTTCTGTTTCCCATTTCTTTTTACTATTAAATCTATATAAATTGAAAATCAATACCGCACATTCATATATGTATGAAATTTATGTTATCTTGAGAGCCATTGACAAAAAAAAAAAAACTATAAAAATATATCACATCGGAAGTATGTGTGAATGTGAAGCCAATCAATTTTACAATTAACTTCATTTCAGTTTATTTTTTACTCGCAAAAATCAGTTTATTGTGATGATGTGTTCATGCATATAGAATATTCTTTTCAATATAAATAACATTCTATGGTCATAAATTTAATGCAACCAAAACTCTTCCATGAAATAATGTGTCACAGCGGTGTCATTTAGGATGACAATTTTCGCGAGAATCGGCACTGAAAATAAATTTATTGCCTTTTTGCAGTTAACAAAAAAATGACTGATCTTGTATGTGCTGTTAAGTCAACAAACTTGCAACATACGCATTTATTTTTCCCATATTTAAATGTGATCATAATAGACACTTATAATGTAATTAGCTTCATTCTTCCATTTATTCATTTCAACCCATTCTCTTCAATTAGACCTGGGAAGAAATAAATGATTTTTGCTCCGTTAGTAAGCAAAATTCTGAATTACGATTATGTCACAGTGATAGAATAATTAAAAACTGGATGGAACTCATCATCTTGAGACGAAATTTTCACAAACAAAAGCTTCTTGTAAGTGCCACCCCGAGCGGCACAAGGTGGCAGGTGTCAGTCATATGACTGTTATATGATCGTTTTGAAATGGCAGATAACAGTTATATGACGGTTATTTGGTAGCAATTATATGACAATTTTGTAAAACTGTTATATGACTGCCATGTGACTGCCATGATAAAAAAGTTGATCACAGTTATCAATGTTTTTTGAAAAATTATGAAAAAATTCATTTTAAATCGTGACTTTGAAGTGAAAAGTTCATTTTGTTTTGACCTTTGAAATTCATATCGCTGAGGACTTAATAAGTAGGATGGACTTTAGTAGAAGGTGAGCAAAAGATTTAAAAATTGTTTATATATTATTTTATAGCATTCAAAAATATTATACAGGAACGAATCTTTTTCAAGATATAATCAATTGAAGTGCTCCAGGAACTTTTGATGAATTAAGAGCAGCATCAAATGCTTTACAAACAGGAATCTGCAACGCACGATGGGGCAGAAAAAGCCGAAAAAGTTTATTTAATTTATTTTTTTTCTTCATATTGATTATTTTTGTTTTTTTACATTGTTTTTCCTATACGAGTTCTTTAATAAACACAAACTTTAAACCCCTTAATATTTTTGAAATTTTTTATATTCATATTTCAGCCTTAAATTGCCATATTATTGATTTAAAATTGCCATAAAATTGTCATCTCATTGCCATATAATTGCCATTTAACTGAAATTTGATTAAAGAACTGCCACCTGTGCCTGTCATAAAACTGCCTAGAAACTGTCATATAACAGTTTCCGTTTTGTGTCAATTTTTATTGATGGCAGTCATATGGCAGTCATATGGATTACTTTATCATACTATTTGGTTGACATATCGTCAACATCGATAGCAATTATCTGTCATATGGCTGCCATAAAGCAGTTTTTATTGCCATCAAACGATGGCAATTGACACGTGGCAGCTGACATATGGCAGTCATATGACAGTTATATGACACCTTTGTGCCGCTCGGGCACAATAGAAGACATTCACTCAGAAAATGTAGAAAACTTTCCCACTTATCGAAACTAATGCTATAGTATATTATGGCTGCAATATAAATATTGAAGGAAGAACTGAATAAAATAAAAATCACCACGAGAATGCACGATCATGAAAACAAGAGAATAAGATTATAGTTGATCATAATCTATACAGAAACTACTGAAAAACAAATTTATTAAGGCAAAATTATATGTTATGTATAAGCAAAATTGCTTAAAACACCAATCAACTCTTGAGTAAAATTATCTCCAATACAGGAGGTAATGATTGAGATATGGAAATTAAATTAGTATTTTTAGATTAAAATTATCGGCCTAATTTTACCATAACATCAATGCAAATATTATTAAGGTTATAAGTGCAAAAATCTTACTTTTACTTTCGTTTTTTTTGCCTATAATAACTTATTTTATCATTGATGTTCCAGTAAGTTTTCCTTCCTGTAATTTAATATAAAAAAAACATTACTCGCAGACATTCTTTGAAATTCTATGCATTTCAGCCTTACATAGATTGACCAAACATATTCTCTCAAAACACAAAGATACTGATAATGATGTCTTCTCCTTTATAATATCTGACTATTTTTTTAAAATAACTTCTTACTGATCAGTTATCCTTTTCAGGAAATAAATTCAAATTTTGATGTATTACTTCTAGAAATGTTAGAAAAATACGCTCCTTCCCACAATGATTCAGATTCGGAAAAAATGTTCAAAAATAAGATATTAATTAAACTTCATCTTTTAAATGCCAGATTAAAGATCTTAACTTAAAGCATATTCAGTGAAAATATCTCGTTTCAATTTGATGTCTAACTCCAGAAATCTTTAATTTATTCTCACCAAAAACTTGTTTACAATTTGTATTTGAAAAAAAATCTTTGATTTTCTCTACTTTAAATTGTTATTTCCTTATCTTGCTAGCTGTTGCTAGCTAAGTTAAGCTTAGATTTGCATATTAAAACTACCAAATCAAAAGAAAACTGCTTATTAAGTCTTAAAAATGCAATTGAAATCTGAGTATTTTTACAAAACTTAAACTATTCATAAGTTAAAAAGTCTTCCAAAGACCTCACTGAAACCTATATAAATCAATTGATTTAGCTTAAATCTATCTCCCATATTACTGAGGACATGCCGTTTGATGCCGCTTTCGAGATATTTGCGTTCAAAGTTTACATAAATTTTCATACAAAATTTGATCATGCACAATATTTTTTGATAAACTTCTGGTAACAAATCATGTTTATCCTTTATATTAAGGACTGATTTTTTGAGCAATGAACGAAAACATTATGTAGAAGATGCAAAAAGAATCAAAACATGAGAAATTAACAAAATCTTTCAATTTTCTATTGGTCGGAAAAATTTTGTGCACGAGGAACTTTTAAACACTTTTTTCAAATCTGAATCATTGAGCTAACTGAACAATTCAACAGTTTGAGATTGTATGCCAGTTAGCACTTTAGAGTGCTTTTACTTCAATCGTATCATGGCAATAAAATCTTTTAAAAATTTACATTTTCTTGCATTTTTACATATTTTCAACAAGAAAAAGTTTTTATGGACGACTCTTGCAAATTCATAGATGAAGGCCAGAGGCAGAAGCAAATACCAAATAAATTATTTGTTTCTAACTATGCCCATTCACAATTATTATTTTTATCGCCTATAAGTTCTCTCAATACGCTTTTATTGCTATTGAAATCATTGGTGCATGTGAGCATAAATAAAAAGTACATTTTTACTTTATTCATATATCGATATTGTATGAAAATATCCATTGAAGAAATACAATAACATAACATAACATTGGTATATTGAATGGTCTCTCTTAGACTGTCTTCAACTATGTTCTTTTTATGGCATCAAGTGCACCGATATAAAATATGCAAGATTCACGAGAGAAAAAAAATGGACTTAATTTCTTTTCGCTCGCTCTCAAATTACATTTTTCTCAACTTCGCGAAGACGATAATCATAAACGGTAAAAATAAAATCTTTTCATTTCGATTATGAATTTATTTTTTTTTAGTCATCTATACATACTAATTGTGTGTCATATGAACAAGATTATAATGTTTGTAATTAAACTACTTTTAGTCAGATATGATTTGTAAATACCGTTGCATTTTCACTTACGAAAGAATGTGAACCAAGAAGCTGTCTTCCTCAACATTGAAAAAGAAAAGTGAGAATATCATAAATTATTTTTGCTAATAGTTGAAGGCTAGGCTGTTCATTAGAAGGAAAACTACAAATCTTGCCTCACTTTTATTGTATGTATCATAAACAAATAGCAAGCTTCATTGTGTCGCGTGCATGCTTTATTTTTATTAGCAATGATAGTTTTAATGATTTATATTTTTTCATCACGAAAGACTAGAAACTTTTTATTGCCGATTAAGTTAATTAGTATACATATTAATCTTTAATGTATGTCAATCGTTAAAACAGGAATTAATAAATGCGAATTTATCTCAATATTTTAGACATTTTCATCACTTTTCACAACACCAGCAAAAGCAGATCAAACAGAAATTAAACTTGGGAATGACTGTCATCATGATATGGATTGTTCAGATCACATAAAAGGAAGCTATTGCTCATTAGGAGGAGTTTGTGAATGTTCTCCTTTCTATGTTATGCTAAATGACACAGTGTGTTTATCATGTAATTTGATTAATTTTTTCCTATTAAAATGAAAATTTGACAGAGAAATTATTTGCTTTAGCTACAAACGATAAGATTCTGACTGTTGTTTTACAGTCCAACCAACAGCTTATGAAGATAAATATGTTGAGCATTATTGAAAAAGATAGTATTAGTTTTAACATTTCCAAAAAAAGACTAAAACGCGTCAGAGACTTATTAATATTCTATTCGTTTACGCCTTTCAGTCAGAATACCAAAAAGTAAAGCAAATAATACTTTTTCGAATTTTTTCTCATGCCTTTTTTTTTTGTTTAACACTTTTTTTTACAATCGATATAGCTCAACTTCTAGGCAACGACTGTATAAAAGATGAACAGTGCTCAATGCGTGTGGCTAATAGTGGTTGTTTAGATGGTGCATGTCGTTGTACCGAAGGCTTTCTACAGTTTCGAAAACACACATGTTTGCTACGTAAGTATTTAATTCTGTTTTTGTTTTCTTAGTAGGTCATCAAGAATTATAGTTATGAGTGGGTAATCTCTACCGGTCTCTTCCAAAATAATAATAATAATTTTTGAAGAAGCCTTTATTGGTCATCCAAGAAAAATGCTTTTTTTATTTTTACATTAATTTTACACAAAAAGATCATCAAAAGATTATTGTTTGAAAACATACAATCTTAGAGTAATTATTTGACAACTTACTTCTAAATACTGTTATAATACATGCATAGCACTCCACAAAGCTGCTCGGAATTTATTTATGCAAATAATATTTCCGATGTTGATGGATTGTACTCCAACTTCAACAAAAGTACAACTTTCTCCTTATTTGTACGTAGAATAGATTAGGTGATGTTTTCAAAGTTCGGAAATGTTATCTCATTTGTAAACATGCTTGTGCTGCATAACATTATAAATCCTTCTAATAGATTAATCAAATAATTTTTTTTTTACTTTAGATTTGATTGGTTATTATAAGTTCAATTCAAATTGATTCAAATTTATTCGTATTTTAAACAATATCCTTTTTTAAAAAGGTTCTAAAATCTTCTAAATAAAAATGAAATGGAATGAATTATCGAAATTTGTTAAATAATTCTTTATTTTGACAATGAAGACCTCGTACCAAGCAAGAGAATTCCCTCGTTTATTTTATTATACATTGTCTGTTTATCTTTTACCCATTTTAATATTCTTCTGAAAAAAAAAAGAAAATTATATGTAAACAGTTATGATGCCTCAAGTAATTTCATTTTCTTGGACAATTGTGTTACTCTCTTATTTATATCTGGTGTCGTTTGAGAAAGAAAAAAGTAAATAAAAAGAAGAAATTCTAATTGAAGATGTTCATAGTATATCCATTTCTATATTCACACTCAATAAATCTTCTCGGCTATTCAGATATTTGGCATGAGCTATCCTCGCCTTTAAATTTTATTCTTTTTATAAATTTATCAAAACCGATTTATAAATAGTCTTAAGCAAATAATAAATATGTGTCCATGCTGGTGTGAATATAATTTTTCAAGAAAAAGTTGTTAGTTTTAAAATAAACAATAGCATACCTTATCTAAATTTCATGAATCAAGAAAGAGTTTGTGCATCCCGCAAAGAATACAATAATTTAGTGGAAAAAAAACATTCAGAATCAGATAATTTACCTAACAATAAGAAGAAATCACATGCTTCGATCCTTTTTTGTACTGTGTGAAAAACATGAAGATGCTGATCGGATTATCTCAATTTCCATTTAAGTCTAAGTAAAGTTTGTCGTGAAAGATATAAAAAACAAGTGTGAAGAATAATTGAAACAAATTCTCTACTGACAATCCAAAAGTGAGGATAATTAATAATATTGCTTGCTATAGCACGCATATGATTATGACACAAAATTAATCTGAGTAGCTCATAATACGATGGTAATCAATTTCCGTTGTAAAAGCTACTCACGAAAGATAATTTTGATTAATCATGCTCACACTAGATTAATTGTTTTATCATTTCGGAACAATTATCTCCATCATACATCATCTTACTTAATCAAAAGCAGGAATAAGAACAACAACATCAACCTATTATAGTTTTTAAAAAAATTAATAACTGAAAATCTCTGGATATTAGTAAACATGTGGGTAACAGTTGTAAGTGAAATGTGAGAAGATGAAAGACGTTGAAAGAAATGTGAAAAATTTTGTTTGTTATTTTTTGGAGTGGTCATGATTTGATTCTTTTAATCTTTTTATATTCTTCCTTCTCTTTGCTTGTTTTCTTCGCTGTATTATTTTTCTCTTCATGACTTGCATCCAGGTTAATGGATATTCGGAACTATATTCAATGATAATTAACATAAGTATAATACGATAGTAATGATGAAATAATAAGTCTCATCATTTTTTTTCGTGATTCACACTAAAACACATAATTTTCATTTCTTCAGTAAATAGAACATCTTCAACGTGAACTTCACAATTCTCAAATTTCGATTCTCATTCCTAAAAAAGTGAAAATATTGTAAGATGAAATAGCTTGAAACAAAAGAAAGGCATTGAAAATGTGCAAAATCATGACATTTACCTGATCATTACAATATCTAAAAAAAAAATTTTCTGAAATATTTTCACATGCTGCAATTGTGAATTAGGTCACCATGTGAATTAGGTCAACGGGCCATTTGAAGTTCTCTCATCGTTCTCATAGCTGCTAATTGCCTTCAAATTTTATTGGATTAAATATTTTAAAATTATTCTGGATTTTTGTCATTTCTTTTTTTCAATCAGTAACATGCAACCAATGTTTTATAATTTTTTAAAGATGATTATTATTTGATAGATTGAAGATGATTATAAAAAATTGTGCAATAGGAGCATAGATGTGATAGAATGTTTGATTTCAGTTATATGTTCTTTTTTCTATTCGTTTTTATTACTCATTCTTCCAGTTCTCCTTTATTTTTTCTTATGATTTTAAATGTTGTACTAAAGTCGATCATTCATGTATTACAACGTGTGCGATTTATCGAGAAAATGAAAATGTAAACCGGCAAACTGCATTTCTTATACTGCCATCTAGTCCGTTGTTTACGAAAACAGAAAATGATGTTCATATTGGAACAATTGAATCGTGAAATGACCTAATTATTAACGCGATGCCTTGAAAAAAGGCCTTGGTGAACAAAATTGAGATTCGTTGCCAAAAATGTAGTAAGGTTATCGGTAAATTGTTTTCAAAAGTGCTAAATGGAGCAAGAATTAATTTTTTTGAAGCACAAAGCAATTCAATATTTATTTTTTTAACCGGATGAACCGATTTTAGTAACTCGTCTATTTTTTCTACTATAATTAATTATAGCTGCACAACCTGGAACTGTATGCTATTCCAATCATCACTGTAAAATGTGGGATTTAAATTCGCATTGTGACTTTTTAATACCAAATCTTTTTGGACGATGTCAATGTTCACTACCTGCTCGATTAAATGGACTAAATTGTACATTGGAAAATGAAGAGGAAATGGAAACAGAAAATACAAAATTCATAAATTCACTTTCAGAGCTAATTTATCCACATGGTCATGAAAATCATGTGCCGGAGCAAATTTTAAATAATTTAGTTGAGACAACACATAACATACAGGAACTATCAAATGATAATGACTCGTTCGATTATCCACAAGAATTTTCGGGACCAATAGACATAAATACAGAAAACAATCAAAACATGGATGATGAAGATCAGTATGAGGACAATGAAATTCAAGATGAAGATTTTGAGGCTGAAATTATTCCACATGAAACCGAGCAATTATTGCAACAATCAGAGCATTCAAATCAAATGATACATCCAGATGATAATACAGAGCAAACACAAATTGATGAGGAAATAGCAACAGAAGCATATGTTCAGGAAATAGAAAATCAATCAAATGCAAATGATAGAGATAATCAAGAAAAAAATACTAATGATGATGATAATAATAATCAAGCAATTGACAGTGAAAATACAGAGAAAGCAATGAGTGAAGAAAGTACAACTGTTGTACAAGAAGTTGATGAAAATCTTACAACCCAATCTGATGTGATTGATCGTGAGAATGAAACGATAGAACATAAAACAGTAGCAGAGGAAGAACACATTACAGAAGAGCAACAAATAGTGAATGATTTGGTTGGTGGAGATGAAAAAGCAAAAGAAGAACATAATAAAGAAAGTAATAATATAAATGAGAATTCAGAAGTGGTAGAATCTACTACGGTCATAAAAGAAATAAATGTTGCGCCTTCAGAAAAACCTGTTGAAAATGAAAGTTTTGCAGAATCACAGCAGCATGAAGAAAATGTAAGAATTGATGTAAATGACCCAATACATTCTACTTATTCAACATTAACAAGTGAATCAGCAACAGTAACGGATATTCCATTAGATGCGACCACACAATCCATAATTGATATAACAACAAGGACAGCTATAATTGAACCAAATGCAGAAATATCATCAACCATCCTTAATTTAATCAATAACGAACAAGTTCCTGATATAACCACTACACTATCATCTCTAATCACTGGAGAAATAACAAAAAATACAAGAAGTAATAATGTTAAAATATTCTTAATGTTTTTACATTAAATAAACCATTTAAATTTTGAAAATAATTACAGAAAAAACAAATAGATTAGACCTCGATAATTTAGCAGTATCTTTAGGTTTACCTTGTGAAAATGATCACCAATGCCAATTGGCAGATTCGCACTCTTATTGCAATGAACGAAACGTATGTGAATGTGAAGCAATGAGAAGTTCAACGATATCGAGTGAATGCTCAGCACAAAATCGAGGATGTGCAGAAGGGACATTCCAGGTTAAATATTTCATAATATTAAAAATATCAGAAGATTTATATAAAACCTTTTTTAAATTTTTCAATAGTGCCGTTCCAGTGGTGTATGCATTTCGTGGTTCTTTGTCTGCGATGGGAGACCAGATTGTAGCGTAAGTTTTAAAAACCAAAAGTACGATTAGGCACAAAAACCATTTTCTTTTATAGGATGCGTCAGATGAAGAATGTTCATTTTCAATGGATTCAAAAAGTCAAAACAGCACACATGATTGTCCACCACAATCATTCAAATGCTATCGTAGTGGAAAATGTGTTTCAAAAGCTGCATTATGTGACAATAAAGTGCAATGTCCAAACGGTAATTAAATTTTATGATTTTATGTCTTAGGAATGAAAAAAACCTTATTAAAATTTTTTTATAAAAAATAGGCGAAGACGAGGAAAAGTGTGACTTTAGAAAATCAAGAAGGTGTCCTGAAAATACATTCCCATGTCGAAGTGGTGAATGTCTACCCGAATATGAGTTCTGTAATGCAATCATATCCTGTAGAGATGGAAGTGACGAACCCCCTCACTTATGTGGATCAGATATAGTGATCACAAATGTTTTCCAAAGGCCTTCCGCTTTTCCTGCGGCTAGAGGCAATCGCTATTGTCCACTAAGATGTGGAAATGGACGATGTAGAAGCACTGCGATTATTTGCTCTGGACGTGATGGATGTGGGGATTCTACTGATGAAAACAATTGCTCAGTTTGTAGTAAGTAAAACGAGTGTGTTGCATAGGGTAGATAGAATATTTCTGATGAATGTTGCGCGACATGGACATACACTAAAGTAGGGTTCGACCCCATGCGCATGCATGCGCATACATGTGCAAACATGCAAATTTCACATGCGCATGTACTGCATGTAAATTTTTTAAAACAAATTTTACAAAAATAATTTTTTTATTTAATTATATTCCTTTTATCATATTTATCAAAAATTTCATTAAAAATATGATAGAAATGTTGAAATTCGCTTCAAAACTGCTTAAAAAGACAGGTTCCTACATCAGAACACTTCAAATTTGACTTTTTTCTTACAAGATTTGTTGTCAAATTGATCAAAAGTGTCCAAATAATCATTATTAAGACATATTAAAACGAATCCAGCAAAAATTAGAATTTTCTTTTTTTTTTTCTCAGATATACATGCGCATACATGCGCATGTTTTTGCATGTGCATGCATGCGCGTGTCAATTTGGCGAACCCTACACTAAAGTGTTCAAAAATTTTTCAGAATTCTGAAAACAATTCAAAAAGGATATAATTTGGAAATTTAAAGCAGTAAAATGGTATGAGTGACTTATGATCGCAAGAATTAAGTCCCAGGTGACTTGCATTTAATTAACTTGTTAGAAATTCAAGTGATTGAGGCTCGGTCACCTCAAATATTTGTATTTTTACCCAAATAATTTGTATACATAAAGGAAGCCTACAACAGGCTGAATCTTATTAAAAAAAATTAAAACGTATACCTTTAAAATTAATTTTGCTGCCTAGTATCCTAAAATGGAGAAATCTGAAATCAGCTTTAGAATTTCCATTTTCATTATGCTTGGCTCAAAAATATATATTTATAAATTTTATTTCACCGCCTAATTTTGATTAGTAAAACCTTTTGCAAACAAAGTTAAACTGAAAATTCACATTTTAACATTTTTTAAAAGATTTTGTCTTAAGGATCTAAGCTTTTTGAATTATTTCGCCTTTATGTCCTAAACGATCTTAATTATTCATTGTTATTGTAAAAATATGTTAATTTAAAGATTAAAGGCAATGTAGCTTAGTGTAAAGAAATAATTCTGAAATATTTATTTATCTCGTTTTTTAACAAATCAATAGAAAACAATTCGTAGCTCAACTGCGATTTCTAGCAATAATTACTTGTAATTTTTAATTCATGTGTTGCTTTTTCTCTTACATGTTGAAAAGAATGAATCAGAATAGCTAATAATATGTATGTCTTTAATTATTTATTGCACACCGATACAACCAATTATGGTCAATTATTTAAATAATAATCGTGTCGCAAATCCAATCTCCAACAATCTTATATTGAGAAATTTTATCAATTTTTACATGCTTTTATATAAAATCTTCAGCAATTGATGTTTTAACAACTCAAATCTTTATCAAACTATTCAAGGTCTCAAATCAGAATATTAATGCTGCGAAAACAATTTCAACAGAAAAATTCTTCACAATAAAAATAAGTTCTGTCTATCCTTTGGGTAATTCCAAGCATGTAATTTTCTATAAAATTTCGACTTTAAACGCTTTAAAATAAATTTTTTTAAAATTATTCATCATGTTTGAGAAAAATTACAACTCATTTTTGATAAATTTCACTCAACCATAGATTCGCAACTATGCAACAGATTCAAGTTATACTTGTACTCTTCACTCAGTAAAATGACTTTAATATTGTACTTACTTCTATTTTTGTGAATTTATTTTATCTTAACATTATTTTTAATAGGATGTCCAGCACCTTCATCATATGAATCACTTAGTACATCAGAAACAAATCACCAATCAAATTTTAAGCAAATACGTAAAAATCGGATCGGTTGGTTTCAGTTCTTAAAAAGTTTAAGTTAAATAGCACATGATTGAATAATTTAATGAAATATATATATTTGTAAATTTTTGTGCCAGTCTGTTTGTGTGCTGTATAGAAATATTTATAATTTCATCAATTATTTTATTCATAAATTTCCTCAAATTGGCTATGATTGTATTAATAATTTAGATTAAATTGGAAATCATGGGCACTCATTTCAAAATAAAAAAGTATTTGTAGTCAATTATTTTAACAAAAAAAAAAATATGGATAATAATTAATATTAATTTATGTAAAATATTATGTTAGAAGCAGAGTTGCGAAACAGGTCACCTGTGACAGGTGAGAATCTTTCAATTCCTTGATAATTTGTATGGTTTTGTTAGAAAAACCTTATAAATTATCAAGAAATTGTAGGGTTCTCACCTGTCACAGGTGCCTGTTTCGCAGCTCTGGTTAGAAGAGTTAAGTAAATAATGTTTCCAAATAATAAAAAAATACACTAATGATAAAATTTAAAAACGCTTTTATTTTTCTCCAATTTCAGCAAAATGTTGAGCCGTTAATTTTAAAAATCACATTGCAAAAGACTAACATTTTCAAAAAAAAATATCTCACCATCACATTCAAATATCTTAGAGTTCTACACTTGATTACGCTAGCTACTCATATTGTGAGCTTATGTTTACATACAATGCAAAAGAATCTGAATGAATATGTGATAAGTCCATTTTCAATTTAAAATTATTAATCTAAACCCTGTACGTATGGTTTCTTTTTTATTGATTGAAAATACAATTTTTTTCAGTTGCTTTAGATCAATAAACAAATTAAATCAAGAAAAAAAAATATATATAAAAGTCCTCGTACTTTATCGAGTGACTTCAGCGCATTTTTGACACAGAAATCAGTACATATAATTCAATAAAATAATTTCAAAATTTTGCCTTTACACAAAAAAATTTTTGAATTTTAAAATATTTTTTCAATTAACGGTTTTTAAAATTCAAATCTTATAACACGTGTGAAATAAAAACTCATTAATTATAGTTTAAATACACTCTTTCAAGACTTTTAACTATTCGATAGACTTATAAATCGGTGGAACTGAGCTAATAAATAAATCCCGAAATCTCTACGATGTCTGGTTAATAAGATCTCATATCTCAATTGTTGCCCCAGCCAGCCGAACAAAGTGCATTATTAAGATACCTTTCAGAAACTAGTTTTAAAATTGAAAAATACTAAACGAAGTTCGGATTTACCACATTTTCATTCATAATCAAAAATACAACAAGTATTTAATTTTGATTATTCCAAAAAGATCTTATAGCACTTTATTATCTTTCTATCATGAAGTTAATAGTGATATTTTACATAGCTGTTAGCCTACTAGTAATTTCAAAGACTGCAATTTCAAAGAAGTTTGATGAAAATAAAAAACCAGGATGGGCTAAAAAAGATATCAGAGATTTTACAGACGCTGATATGGAGAGACTACTAGAACAGTGGGAAGTATGTTAATTAATTTATTGTATGCCACAAGTAATTAAACTCTCTAAATTTAAGGAAGAAGATGATCCTTTGGAACCAGATGAACTTCCAGAACATTTAAGACCGGCTCCATCGATTGATATGTCCAAAATTGATCCAAGCAATCCCGAAGCACTTTTACAGCAAACGAAAAAAGGCAGAACTGTAATGATGTTTGTATCAGTTACTGAAAATCCAACGAAAGATGAAGCAGAAGAAATTACAAAGCTTTGGCAAACAAGTTTATGGAACAATCATCTTCAAGCTGAACGATACATGATTGATACAAATAGAGCAATTTTTATGTTTAGTGACGGTTCGCAAGCATGGAAGGCAAAGGACTTTTTAGTTGAGCAGGAGAGATGTGAAAGCGTTACTCTAGAAAATAAAGTTTATGAAGGAAATAAGTCAAGTAATGATAAAGAGGAACTTTAAAAAATGTTAAAAATAAAAAGTATTACAAACGTCACAAATTAATTTATTTATTGTAAATCAGCTGTTTAGAGAGAAAAAAGAGAGTATACATGTACTTGAGCTTGTATTCATTTTATACATTTACATACTTGAATGAGATAAAGTAGTTCAGACGATCAATCATTGTACTCAAAGTTTTAGTCGTAGAATGACATTCGTTTTTGTCTCATTGCACTTTAATTCATTTCTTTGAAAGTTGATAATTTTTATCGGAATTGAAGCTTAAAAGTAAAACATATTAAGTCGATTGATTGGCATTAGAACTTCATCAATATGATTGTGGTAGTTCTCATTTTTATAGCTTCAGCAATTTCTTTTTTGTGGCTATTTTTTAAAATAAAATTTAATTATTTTAAAAACCTTGGTATTCCTCACAAGCAGCCACGAATTCCTTTTGGAAATATGCAAGGATTTAAGAGAAAGCTACACTCTTCACATTTTTTTAGAAATTTATTTGAAGAATTTAAAGGAACGAATCAATTGTGTGGAATATACCTATTTACAAAACCTTCATATCTAATTATCGATTTGGAACTGGTTAAATCGATTTTAGTAAAAGATTTTGCTTATTTTCATGACCGAGGGATGTATTATAACTTAAAAGTATGTAGAATAATGATAAAACGTGAATGAAAATGAATATAAATTAAAAATTTATTCAAGGATGACCCACTTTCTGGACATCTTTTGAATTTGGAAGGAGAAAAATGGAAGAAGCTGAGGGAAAAACTAACGCCGACATTTACTTCTGGTAAAATGCGGTACATGTTCCCAACAATAATTGATGTGGCAGAAAAATTCGAATCTTTTATGAATGCCTCAATCGCAGAAAATAATGAACCAGAAATTAAAGGAATTTTGACTAGATTTACTACAAATATTATCGGATCTTGTGCTTTTGGCATTGATTGCAATACATTCGAAGATAAAGATTCTAAATTTCTTGAAATGGGTTTAAAAGCTTTTGAACAGCCACGAAATACCTTCTTGAAGCAAATGTTAGCAATCACATTTCCTGATTTGGCTAGGAAATTAGGTATTAAAATTGTGCGAGATGATGTTGCTGATTTTTTTATGAAAATTGTCAAAGACGTAGTCGAATATCGTGAAAGTAAGAACATTAAACGAAATGATTTCATGGATTTATTACTGCAGCTTAAACATGAAGGAAAGATGTCGTTTGAAGAAATTGCAGCACAAGCATTCGTTTTTTTCTTGGCTGTAAGTTAGACATGTTTAAACTATTTATAAAGAATCATATCCATTTCTTATTAGGGGTTTGAAACGTCATCTACAACGATGACTTTTGCATTACATGAGCTGAGCTTAAATCAAAAAATTCAAGAGGAAGTAAGAGAAAATATAAATAAAGTACTTCAAAAGCACAATGGAAAGATCTCTTATGAAGCTCTGTCAGAAATGGATGTGCTTGAACGATGTATTAATGGTAAAATTATTATTTATTTGAATTAAGCAAGATTTTTCTTTATCTTGACAAATATACTCAATTACTTTTAAAGAGTCACTGAGAAAGTTTCCACCAGCAGCAAGCTTAATTCGTACTGTAACCAAAGACTATAATGTTCCGAACTCAAATATAACTCTACAAAAAGGATCATCTGTTTTTATATCGGTATATGGGATACATCATGACCCTGAAATTTATGAGAATCCTGAAGCATTTAATCCTGACCGGTTTCTGCAAGAAAAAATAAAGCAGCGGCACTTAATGTCATTTTTACCTTTTGGACAAGGTTAGTTCTTAGTGACTATTAATAAGCTCTTAAAAGATTAATAATTTATTTATAACAGGAAATAGGATATGCATAGGTGAGCGATTCGGTTACATCGAGACCAAAGTTGGTCTAGCTACTTTACTCTCAAAGTTTATATTTGAACCATCCTCAAAAACTAAAACACCAATCGAGTTCTCAAAGAAAAATATGATTTTAACAACGGATGGAGGGATGTTCCTCAAAATAAAAAAAATACAGATTTGATTTCGTCAGAAATAAATCTTTCAAAATCATAACCAATTATGAGATCATATTTTGTTGATGAAATTTTAATCGTTCTGTAAAGATTATGAATGTTTTAGACATACTGAGGTTGTGAGATACATAGCTGATAACTGGATGTATTTTTTTTAAATGTGTAAAGAAAATGTGTAGCATTCTGAGTAAAGCTTAATGCAATTAAATAAAAATAAGTCTCTCTCAGCAGTATTTACGTTTTTTTTTTTCAGTATCATCAGTGTAGTTTTGTGATTCATATCATATTATTTCCTTTGTTATTCTATAATTTTTTTTCAGTCAAATTTTAGTCCTTTTTGCCAAATATTAAATTTATTATTGAAGCTACATTAAAACTTATAAGCAATGATATCACAAATAAAACTAAAAAAGTAAGTACTCAAAAAATTGTGTAAGTTACGAAATTCAAGTAGAAAAAATATTTTTGTTCTATGGATTCTTCCAGATTTCAAATAGTTCTCATTCTTGTGTTTCTTCTACACACATATTGGATTGCGGCGCAAGATGTAAATTTGATTGACGATCCTGATAATTCCAATAAGACGCATTGGTTCAATTGTACTATCAACAACACAATCTATTATGATAATGACTGTTTTTCATGGCTAGGAAATTTTATATTAGGCTTAGGACTTATTTTAACAGTTTTATTAATGCTCTGTTGCTGTTGTTTCTGGTATTGTTTATGTTCTTTATGCAAGATAATATGTTGTAGTGATAATCCACGAGAAGTTATATATACAACGTATGTTTATCCATCATCGTACACTCAAATACCTTAAATTCCGTTTTAATATAAAGACAATGTGATAAGTTTATTGAAAAAAAATCATGAGATAATTTTTATTCTGGATTCAATTCGAAAATAATCTTTTTTCAATGTAAAAAAAAGAAAAGAAGAAAATGGAAGTAATAAAGATTATGCAAACAACACAATATGCTTTATTCAAAATTACACAATTTTTGTTAAAACTTATCGTATTAAATGTAATTATTTATGCTCGAGAATATTATAAGAAAAGAATAGTTTAAATGAGAAAATAGATTCGACATTAGCTTTATGTGATAAAGTGTTATATGCTGTTTCTTTAGATATAAGTTATCAATAATATATAGTAAATTTTGGTCAGTTGATGAAGCTTTTCTTTTCAATTTTTTTAAGTGACTGCCTCTAAAAGGATTTTAGTATAACAATTTAACCGTTTCAGATAAAAATATTCATTCATTAATAGAGGCACATAAATTCTTAAGCATTTAGATGTTTAGTTAAGCTTGCAATAGATTTTTAAAACAAGCATAAAGGAATCAAATTATTTAATTCTTGTATTTTTCTTGAATGCTTTTCATTATTTTCAATAATTTTTCGCATCGCTGTGGATTATTGATAAGCAACAGTTTTTTAGGTCTGTCGCCAGATGAAAACATTTTACTGAAAGTAGATTTTTGCTTAGGAGGTTGCAAAGTGATTTCAATACCTTGATCGACTCTTCTCAAAGTACTAATTTCATCCCATTTGTTGATCCAATCTGATTGCCATCCAAACAAATCTTTTCGTACATATATAATTCGATGATTTGTTACAAGCAAAACTTCCTTTTCAACAACAACTTCTGTGTATATAAGTTGATCGGAAACTGCAAATTTCCCCTTATCTGCATCTCTGAATATTTTAAAGCCTTCTGCTTCAGATCTACTATATGGACGAATAATGCCATCCGAATGTAAAAATCTTGGTGGTCGCAATTTCTTTTCCTCATCAGATAATTCTGTTGCTCTTTTGACTGAATCAAAAGTTCCGCTTGCAAAATCAACTATTCCAGTAGCAGGACGAGCAACTAAACCGACTGCACCTTTCCCTAATCCTTTAAAGAATCCTTGAACACCTTCGGAACGCGCACCGCTAATTGGTTTTGTTACAACACCAGTAACTCCATCAAAAACTCCCATAACCAGACCTTTTAACGGTATTAAATGTTTGAATTGAAATAAACATTTAAAGCCAATTACATTACCTTTGCCTCCTCTTGCTAAACCTTCTTGCATGCTTGCAGGTTTCTTATTAAGCGCATCTCTTCTTTTCTTTTGATAATCTTTATCAAATGTCAATGCAGAAAGACCTTTTCCCATAGCTCCTGTAATTTTTGAAACAGCACCTGCAGCACCTGTAATTTTTATTAATTGTAAACATGTTACGTCTAAAACTATAAAATGTAACATTGACCTCCAACGGTGTGTCCAAATAACGAGCGAACACCTAAAACTAATCCTTCAGCAAATTCTCCAGGCCCTAAAATGATGATGATGATGATGATGATTGAAAATTAGTAATTGATTTTAATATTAATTTAATCAGTAACATTATACCTTGAATTAATCCTTGGAAAGGTTCATAGAATAAATCTTCAACTCCCTTAGTGAATCCGACAACTAAGCCAAAAGGATTTCCCAAGACATCCAAACCGAGAACAAGGACATATAATTGTTTAACTGCCTGTCCTGCATAATGAGTTGTACATTCGGATATAAGTTGTCGTTGTGTGAAGAATTGAAATTGTCTTTCAAAAAATGCCAGACGAAAAACGACATCATTAACATCAGTTAAAGTAACTCCGACACCTTGAAGTAATGTTGAAATTATTCCAGGCAAAGCTTTGGAATCAGAATCGCCACCAGTGCCCATTGAAAATGAGACGTGAACTTTAATTGGGCCTAAATGAAGATTATCATAGAAATTCTTTTGTTCCTGTTGTGAATGAACTGTTACGTGTGCATATAATGGCTGTTTTTGCACATTTACATCTTCCTCAAACTTTTTCTTGGCTTCAGCTTCGCTAGTTTCAAAAGCCAACATTTCGACAATTGCATTAATAAAGTCAAGATCAACTTTTACATGAAATTCTTGCATTAAAACTCTCATATATTTAAATTGTGTGATGGATGAATGTGGGATGATTCGTTGAACAACGGACATTTCAATGAAAGGCTTCAATTCGGTTGTAGCTGCAACACTCTTTGGAGGAGGAATTGGAGCCAATATAATTGGAAAGATTGAATCAGTTAATTGATTGTCAATTTGTATACGATTTATTTTTGCATGAAGTTGTAGTTGAAATGGAGATGTTTTCATATCAAGCCAAAAGCCTGGATAAAATAAGCGACGAATTCTTCTTTGTGACGTATTTTTCTGCAAAATCATATTTTGAAAATCGACTTCAATCGTTCCATTTGAATGGATAAAATATTTTTTATCCTCGTGGGCATTAACTATAACATCTCTTAAATATTCCTGATATCTTTCTTCGACCATTTGATTCATTTCAATCTTTAATTGTTTAAATCGTTCACTATTTAAATTCTTTTCTTGCTCCCATATTACACCTTTAAAATAAATCAAAATCCTATTGAAGCAACACCTCTAAAGTTTAAACATTATCATAAACTTACTTGAACTAGCAATTCCAATGTACATTAAATCACAACCCTTTAAGTTGTTCACAAGTGACAAGCCAAGACCTCTTAATTTTATTTGAACATCGCGTGTTACCTAATTCAAAAAATTAAAATAAAATCAATTAAACTACATCTATGAAATATTTTTTTTTTTTTTTTGAAAAAAGTCATACTTGATCTAGTCTACTGGAACTTTGTGTGCTTTCTGCAATTGATTCGTTCTTTGTAAACAATAAAACACGTTGCGTTCCATCCAAAAATGAGACCCAATAAATAATATCTGAATCAACTGATTGCTGTCTAATTCCACTTGATGTTGATGGTTCTTCACTGGAGCTTTCTCGATTAATTATAAATTCATCAACACCGTCACGTCTTAAATCATTTTCGACATTTCCTTTGCCTTTACAGTGCCACATTATTTTTCTTTCGCCTGCGGGATCATTCCATGTATAGTAAATCATATTGTTAGGCTTTAAAACTCTTCCATTGACATTTCCTTTTTCCAAGAAAGTAATGTTTTCATCCGTCAAATTCATAATTAATCCAGGAGCATCACCAAGATGATACTCAGTAAAAGTTATGTAAATTACACCTTCAGTTACATGCACGTCTGCATTTATTCCACCATATTTATTTTTCAACTGAAGAAGGGAACATTGAACATCATCATACTTGAATGGTGCGGTAATTTCATCGGTGTCAACAGCTTTAACACGTAACATTCTATCAGCTTCTGATCGAGGCCATAATGGTGCACAATCGTTTGATTTAACTAATATTCTTGGATCTGCAGGTCTTTTATCCTCTTGAACTTCAATATCAAAAGGCGCGCGATTTATTAAAACATAATATGGCGTAAAAATAATTTGTTTTGTAAGAGAATTGTTTGTTAACACATTTTGTACTCCAATCTACAAATTATAGCGTCAGAATCTTTTTAAAAATTTATAAAAAACAGGAGAAAAATATACCTGATATATCATGCCGTTCACCTTGCAATCTATAACGCCACTTGATCCTGCCACATCCAGTGAAAATCTGTCACTCCAATCGCCAGAATCGACGCGAATTGATGCTTTCTTTTTTCCGAAAAATGCTTTTTCGCGAAATGAGAACAAAATTGGTCCATCGTACTCCGGAGGATGATAAAGTATATTAGTATTTTCATCGCTCGCCTGTCGTGAGAAACAACAACAATCGAAATTCTTGAACAAACCATCTTCCGAACACCCGAAAAAATTATTATAAGAGCACTACGACGGGAAATAACAGCAGGTTAATATGGTGTAGAATGTAAACAAAAGGGAAAGGAATAAAGGAATTACGGTAATGTAGGATGTTAAGTGATAAAATGAAAATATGAATTAGTATTGTTGACTACCTCAATTTACTTCAACCTGTTTACTTATTTCTTTCCAAATACAAAAAATAAAATCATTTGAAAATTATAATCGCATTATAATCTTAAAACTTATGCCTCATTTTTAACTTTAATTAATATATAGATAAGTGATATTTTAGGAAATTTAATATTGCTAATAAACTATACAAAAACGCAGTCAATTCTTTGGAAAATATCTACTTACGTAGTTCCTTAAATATACATAATATGTAAAGTATTTAAAATTTGAATGTTTAATGATAGAGTTCTGATGTAAATCAAAAGGAACTATTAACCAAAACCTTGTAAAATAATGTTAGATATCACATGTGATCATGGGCAAAAAGATAGAGTCTTTAGAAAATAAAAGATATTAAGATGACCAAATCATAATCACACCAAGATAAAATAAATATTGCTATGAAGTTTATACTTTCGCGAATTTACATAACAATACCTTAGTCGTTTTACCAGCTAATTCATTTTTCTCACTTTTTCGCGACTTCTGCATATCGGAAAAGAAAGAAATAAATACAGAAATAAAGTATACAAAGACATGTTTTCAAAATTAGTTAATCTACAAAACAATTGCATTTTAATGTGATGACTGTTATGAAAATATACTGTTTTACTCAAAATCCTACAATAGCAATAGCAAAAAGTCTTACCCTATAGCTTAGATTCAATCCTGTTTTATTTATCATCCAAAATGGACAATAAACTGTCATTGTCAATCCATTATTTGAATTTTCAAAATGAATACCTAGTTGAAGTGAAGTGGTTCCAGCTGAATCGTACGAGTTAAAAGACCAGACAATAAATTCTGCAGGATCTGCAGGAATTTCAGTTTTCAAAGACCAATCACGTTCCAAATATTTAATAATCTAATGAAAATAAGTTATTAAATTCGATGATTCCAAATCGATGATAAGCGTTTTAAATACTTACTCTTGCGACAATGTACATTGAACTGTCGGAATTTTTCGTTGCAGTTTTAACAGTCGGTAAATGAAGTAAATCTCCAGGCTTGATTATTTTTTCACCGTAATCTAAGAAATCTTCTCCTCGAACGCTTGAAGAGTTTTGATGAGCTGATGTCATGTGTTCGTCAATAGACAATTCTTTATAATTTCTATCTCGTTCTTTAGATACACTACAGCCAGATACAGATACAATTAAATCAACTGGAAGTGCATTTCGTAATATCAATGGTGGTCGTAAGCGAATTAAATAACAAGCACTGAGCATTGTAATTTTACTTGACACTTCAAAAAATACATCAAATCGTTCTCTTATTGCATTTATATAAAGTGGCTCATATGTGTTAACTGGATCACATTGAAGGCTTTTTACAAACGCTTCCGAATTACCAGGACTTTCTTTCCAACTTAATCCTTGTGTGGAAGTACGATAACCAGCAATTGAGAAATAAATTTCTTTATGACTATCATGAATATATTGTATTGGAATATTAAAATATTCATCAGGTTTTACTGTTCCTATTTCCGATACTTTTTCGCCTGAGAAATGATGTAATTTTATTGGAATTGTAAAATGATTGAAAACCTGCAAGATGCCTCGAATTGTAACGATCGTGGAGCCCATTTCTATTGTAACTTCGCTTATCAATCCTAGTTGTTCCTGACTTGTATCTCTATAAAGTGGAAAATAACGCTTGTCTGCTTTATGAATAGGTAATTGAATACGTTTCTGCACTTCCGGAATGTATAATGTAATGAGTTTTTCTTGTCCTGTTTTTTCACCATAAGTCATAGATTTGATGGTTGTGTCAAGTAGAGAAAATGAGTTTATGTTATCTTGTTTTGGTTGTAAATAAACTTGTCCACACGAATAAATTACACAAGATGAAATGTCCTCAATATTTGGAGTTTCCAAAATGTGCAAGTTTTCAAAGAGTACAAAGTCACTCTTGTTGTGTGGCTTAAAATTCGAATCATGAAATATGAATTCCGTTCCAATTAATTCTAGCTGAATTTCGAGTCCAGTATTATTTCGAAGAACATAGGGTGCATATATAACTTCATCATTTATTAATCTTTCTTGGTCAATTGCTTTTGAGAATGAGTTTCCAAGCGTTTGCAGCACATCAATGCATGTTTTAGTCGCCAAAAGCTCAAGAGTTTGATCAGATGTAATGCTCATTATTGTTGTCGGTTCTTGATTATCAGAACTTTCTAAATGTTTATCAACTCTCATTTTAAATTGCAATTCCCATGGGTAATATTCAGGAAGACCATAAGTTGAATCTACTTCAACAGGCTCTATTAATGGTTCCCATAATGCAACTTCATTATTATAATATGACATAGTTAAGCGCATAGTACTCTCCACTTCCATTTCTGAGCTCCAATTTAAAATTTTAGCATCCATACTGGTTTCTATGTAAAGCATAGGAATTGTATGTACACCAACTCCATTCTCTATTATTATCGAAATTGATGGAACTTCAACAATGCATTTCTCCTCTTTTGGTGGAGGTAATGTTGATACGGAATATAGACTCATTGCATCTTCTGCTTCGTCTACTTTAATAAACCAAAATTCATCATCTGTAAACTTCTTTGGCAACCATAAATCGCTGTAATCTTTTGCTTCAACTTCATTAAGCTCTTGAGAAACTTCTTGTTGAGTCATAGTTGCAATAATTTTATTGACTAATTCAATCGTGGCTGGAGAAAAACAAATCTTTATTTTTGACACATTAAGACTCACATGAAGTCCTTTATCTTCTGGCGTTGATCCATTCAATGAAATTGAACAAGGATGTAAAACATAATGTTTTGATCGATGTCGTTTTATAGGATTGAAATCACTCAAATACAAACTACAATTCTTTATTTCTCCTTGAATATTTTGCTTCTCTCCGTAAAGTCTAACCTTAGCGAAAATTTCATTCTGCACAACATAGCAAATTGGGGGGTTATTAATTTTTAAATTCTTTAAATACCATTCTTATAAATAAAAAAAAACTTACATTCAAAATTAATGCTAGACAGTTAACGTCATCCATTTTTTCCACAAGGATAACATCATACTCTTGAATGTAAATCGCAAATTCAGCTTTCTTTTCAACTTCTTTTTGGTTTGCGTTAGCTCCTGAAAAACTAGATTTCCTTCTTCTGATAGCAGCGGTTGAACCATGTTCCCGTTGTTCTATTATAGCATCTTGTAATTCTTCGTTCAGAAGACTTTCTTGAGGTTGCAAAAATGACGAAAGTTTCAATAGAAAATCCATAGAAAGAATCAAATTAAAACTGAAGACTTTTACATCGCCAAACATTTCATTTTCCTTCATTCTAAACGTTATATCAATCATCGATTTTGAATCCGAACTTGTCGTCGGCACATCCTCATTTCTTTCACGCCTTTCCATAAATCTTGTTATTTTACCTTCTCTATTTGGTCTTTTATCATCAAGATTTATATCACAAAGTACTAATGATGTCGACAAAGATCCATCTGCTAGTTGTTGCCCATTTAAAGACAAGTAGTAAAGTCCAAAACAAGCAAGTCCTTCGTTTGGAGCTATTGCATTATTTGATCATGAAATTATTATTATTTTTTACAGAAATCCATCTACATCTTCATAATTGCTTACCAGTAAATAAATTTAATGTTATTGAATCAATTGAAAATGCAAATTTCATCGAGACATCAACGACTTTCTTCTCATCACTAGGTGATGTTTGCAATGGAGTTATGTCTATGCCAAATGGTTTCTTCGATTCCAGTACTTTATTGGAAGTCCTTTGCCACTGTTGCTTTGCTGCATTAATAAATAAATTTTCGTTTTTAAATTACGTTTTATAAAGCGTTATGAACTATATAATAAATGTTTTGTGCAAGATCTGAATGTGTGCGTGTTGTTGAATATCTAATTTGCTTTTTGTTAATTTTGAAAAAAATAAATTCCAGCTTTTGATAATGAGAAGCAAACACAATATATATATATACATATATATTGTGTTATTGGCATTAGAATTTAAAAAAAAATGCACTGAAATATGATAAGTGATAGAAATTTAACAAAAACAAATCTACCAAAAATATATCGACAGCTATAAACTCACCTTCTTCGTCGTCATCGTTGCTACTAACTAATGATGTGTAGTGAAAACAATAAATTTACAGTAATAATGATATTGTAGAACATTTACAAAGATTTCATATAATCATATATTTTTTAAAACTATATGAAAGTTAAGAAGATTGGATAGCTTTAACATAAATGTATGTGTATGTGATGTGTTTGTTTTTTGGATGTTCAACTTATTTTAAGAAGTCTTCAAACATAAAAATGTCTTCTTGTAATAAAAATTTTAAGGACTTCTTTATATGATGAACAGTTTACAGGGAGGAGCAATAAGTGACAAAAGTGGCTATCCTCATATAAACGATTTTTTTTTTAAAAAAAACTTAAATATTGAAATTTTGGAGCTTAAGCAATCTCACATTTCAATTCTAATCTAGTTTCCAATTAGTCACACCGTTATTAAAAAAAAAAGTTCAATAAAAAACAAATATTGCATACCTTTTGTAATTTCTGGCGGAGATATTGCTTTAGTCTTCCTAGGCTTTTTAAACTCATTCTGCCCTTCAGTCATATTTTTCTCCAAAATTTGCATAATAACTTGGTAATCTTGAGCTATTACATTCAACTCTATCGTGTGCAAACGTCCAGATATTTCCTAATTTAATAGAGAAAAAAAAAATGAATTTTATATTCTTCAACTAAACTTTTTTTTTTTTATTTTCTCACCATGTCTGGATGATCTTTGTACCAACTTGAAGTGAGATTTCTTTTGATTATCAACGCAAAACTGGTTGGCTTTAATACACAATCATTTGGATCTGTATTATATGCAAGATCTAATATAGCGCAAAATATTATATGTTTCATTATTTTTGTGCAATTAAATTGTAATATAATAATTATTATTACCTGGGGTTTTGAATCTGGAAGATATTGTACTAGAGTGATTATCAATAGGATCTTCATTTCCACGCAATAAAACTTTGGATAGTTTTACATCACTCAAATCAATTTTCATCTCATCAATAACAGCAGGTCCATAGTCACTTTTTACGTTCAAGTTATTTATAACATTGGTAATTTTGAGATTTCCCAAGTCAACAACAATAGCTTCTAAACTTTGAGAATGAACGGGAACGAGGATAATAGGAGCTTTAATTTTAATATTCATTTTTATTCGAGTAGCTTTTTCGTAAGCCTGTACTGCTGTTTGTTTTGCAACTTCGGCTGCAGCTTTACTTGCTTCTTTTATTCTTTCTTGTGCAGTTTGAAAATGATCCAAGAAATTAAGGACGGAAGAAATGAACCAATTCATAAAGATTATTTTTGCACATCCCATGTTGACATCAATTCTCATATTATCAGAATTATATTCGACAGTGTCTTCCAAATTATATAAAACTAATTGAAGCTTAAGAGCATCTCCGCCAATTATCGACAATATATTTTTATGAATAGTTCTTGGATTCGGATCAGTCACAACAATATCTTCGAGATTCATCATAACTTCTGTGTAGGAAGTTTTCATTGTTACGCCAGATGTTAAATTTTTAATCTGTTGCGAATGATTTTTTTTTATGAACAACATAAATCCTTAAAAATTAAAATTCTTAAATTACCTCCATTGTCGCTATTTCGCGAACATCATTCCCGATTTTGATAGTTACATCCTCCATTTTCGCCAGCACTTTTATTTTGATGCTATCTACAATTTTAGTTTTTTTGCGTTGTCCTATATTAGTTTCGACATCAATATTTCCATATAAACATTTTTTTTAAATTACAAAAATTAATTAACGTAAAACATCAGATTTAGCATGAAATTAAAAGAAAAAAAGAAATAACATCCAAATTAAAAAATAAAAAAAAAATAAAATAGCAATTGATAAATAAACATAAATTAAACCTAGATAATATCAAAAACTTATGCTTACTTGAAACATTCGTATCAAATTTCGATTTTTCATCAGCATCTTCTTCCAAAATCATAGGCAATTTTTCTTTAGCCACCTCAAACAAAGTTTGGCCAGCTCCCGCATCGCCGATTCTATCTTTTGGTTGTTTTTCTCCACTATTCATGATCTCATCAACCTTGTTTTGCAAATCATTAGCGATTTTTATTAGTTCAGTAATTCCATCTTGATTTAATATCAGTACCACTGTTGACATTTTTATATCAATCATTTGTTCAACCGAATGATACTTTGTATTGAATTCCGGAGATGTTTTCTTGCAATTGATGTAAGAAAGAGCAAACAAATACTCGAAACTGGAATCATATCGTGGTGTATTGATCACTTGAAGCATTATTTCTTTTTCGTTTTTTAATCGAAACTGATCAAAAGAAACAGCACCTAATTTTAAATCTACTTTTAATTCGTACGTTCTTTGTGCCGCATTCATTTCCAACTTCTTAACTTTAATGCACATCATTTTTTCTCTATTTGCAATCGTAGAGTATGGTGTATCAAAATTTACAATGCTTTTAAATGATGGTGATACTATATTAAGCTGCTTATCATCTGCATCAACAAATTCTTCACTTGGAGTCTCAAACTCATCCGAGCTACTCTCACATTCTTCGTTAGGATTTTTCGCCTTAAATATGGTTATTGCCACTTCATGCAAAACAAAATATGCTTCGACTTCGGTAAATTGAACCACACCATCAATAAGATCTACATTTTCAGGTGGCGGATCAAAACGTTTCTGTAGCTTTTGTTGTTTTTCATCAAGAAATTTTAAAAGCGATAAACTCGATCCTATAAAATTCTGTTCCTTTGAGATTGGATTCATAACAATCTCTTCATTGCTTTCGGGTAAAGGAAGAGTAGCAATAATTAATAAAACATCGAGGACCCTATCTTCAGCCACGCTAATGCTTATCGATGGAAGTTCACAAGATATTTTACACTTGGGTAGTCTCGGATCATCTGTTATAACTGAGAGGTGTGCTGAAAGTTTCATGAATGTTGGTTCTAAAAGATGCATTTCCGTTCCATGTCCAATATTTATAGCTTCTTCCCAATCTTCATTTTTTCTTGCCATCAAGAATTGAATATTATGAATTTCAAATGTAAATTTGTCATAACTTTGTGATATTAACTCTTTGAGAATTTCTTCTGAACTAATTCCTTGTTCGTGCATTCTTTTAACGCTCTTTTGCTCAATCGGTCTTGGCTCAGTTTTTAACAGCAATTGTCCTAAGCTAATCACTAAAACGGATTCATTTTTCGTATATTTACCACCGTGAGGGATAAGAATGTAACTTGGTGCAAAAATTATGTCGACTTCCATACGCGGATGTGATGAAATTGCATACTGAAGACCTGTACTTGATCGCTCTTTTATATCAATGAGTTTTTCAGCAGCCGCATCCTGAAGTTGAGCTAATGTTGCAGTTTTTTGTGTTTGAAATACTTTCATGAGCTGAATAATTGTTTCACCATTATACACAAGCTGAATTGGTTGAGACTGAACCTTAATTCGTTGATCACAACTGTTATCTAAAGGATTGCTTTCAAACATAACGTCAAGTAATGAATCTTTTGATTCTATTTGTGATTGAACTAGTACGGGAAGGTATTGTTTTTGTTGTAATCCGAAGACTTGCAATTCCTTCATATTCAAATTTAATTTAATTGATTGTGCAGATGGACGTTGACTAACTGAACATTTTACTTGATTCAATTGTAAAAGCATTACATTTTCAATTGAACTGTCGATATCCGATTTAATAGATACTTCCAAGCAATTTAGTATAAAATGTAACCGAATCGCAACAAAAGTTTCAGGTAGTTCAATTGGAACTGAATTTTCTTGATATCCAATTGCCTTGAATAATTTGTCCTTCTCTTGCTGTGTCATAGCCGCTTGGAATTTCTTTTTAATATCATCAGAATCAGCGTCTTTCGATTCATCCTTTTTTCCTCCCCACCAATTACTAAACCAACCTTTAGACTCTTCGACTGCCTTTTCTTTTGTCATTTTTTCGACTTCAAACTCAATTTGTTGACGTATTACTACCAAATTTTGTAAATTTAGTCTCTTTTCGCAGTTGTCAATTTGATCTAGCAATTGTTGAGAAGGTTTTTTTGTAGTCAACTTCTGTTTATAAAGTTCTGCATATGATCTACATAAATTACGAGTCTCTTTCATGTTTTCCCATGACCAATTAAGTTTTCGTCGTTGAATGTCGGTTTCCAAAATACATCTGAATGCAAAATGCCACCATTCCTTAAAATTTACAAAATAAATGTAATTAAATATAAACGAAGAAAAAAATAATTGACTGAAATTTACCTTAAAATGTCCTTTGTAGGTGATTCCATGTGGACGAAATTTTCTATATGGATACGCTCTAGACATCCTGCCGAATTGTTCAATTAATTGCATCACATCCTGATATTGAGATTTTGTCAAACCAATTCTTAGAGTTTCCATTGTTAAATTCAATATTATTTTTGGAATAGTAAAAGGGATTTCGTTGCTTTCAGGATCAGGATTCAATTTGAGCTTTGCTTCAGAATTAATTGGTCCCAAAATAAAGTCATAGTCGCTGGGTTTCATTGCTTTTGTCGCAATTGACTCTCTAAACATGACCAAATAGTTATCTTGACTATACTCTTGAAACAGCTTACAGTCACAATTCATATAAACAGCAAGTGACTCCAATTGCGCCACTTTAAATATTTCGGACATCGATTGTGATATTAACGTTTTATTCCATTCGAAATCAGTGGTATGAACGCTAAAATTACTGAGAGTAATTCCAATCGCAAAAGGATTTGCGCAAGAAATATTATCTTCATAACGAATGTGAATATCAGAAATTTTGATCTGAACATTATTTATTATTTGTGCTGAAAGTTTTTCTGCAAAGGTTTTATCTTCTTTTGGTTTATCTAAAATTAATGGACGGAGATTATTATATGCAAATTGATTAGGTAATTAGCACAAAGTTATTACTTACTCTTTTCACTCTCGAGCTTTTTAGCAATTTGAATTCTTTCCAGCTCAGCTTTTTTCGCCTCATAAGTGGCTTTTTCCTCTCTTTCACCATTGTACTGAACAGAATTGTTGGGAACAGCCAATAGATACAATCTGTCTATATACGCTTCAACTGGTGCTGAGTACAAATTCTTCCATGGTATCTTCAATACTAAACTTCCCAAATGACCATATGTTGTTTGTACTGGTAGATCAAGTTCTTTTAATGCACTTTGCTTCAAAACTAAATTTTTAAGAACAACATCACCTATAAAGCGCAATAAATTGAGAAATACTTTTAGAATGAGTGTTCAAAGAAACTTAAAAATTAATAAGCGTATCTTTATAACATGATGTCATGACTCATAAATACGTTGATAAGAAACTTTTGTTACCCACTATTAAAAAATGTACAAAAAGTATCAAAATAAATGATGCATTTTCGCAATTAAAAGAACCAAATCTATGGTGTAATCACTTTAAGCCTTAATGGCCCAAAAGAGAAACAAATTTGTTATCTTATTTTGATAAAACTCTATCAACTATTTCAATTACTGTACTTAAAACTTTTTTTTTTGTTTCATTTCATCATGTTTTGGAAATGCGATATTAATAATCGCCAATAATTCGATGATCTCATACACATCTTTAAATGTAAATATATTAGCCGAATGATGAACTAAGTAAATAAACGACGATCGTATTTTAACATTTGAAGTACCAAGGAATTTAGATCAAATTGTACATTATATCAAATAAGAAATTAAATACGTTGTCATTCATAGAATCAAATAATGTCTGAGGTCAAATCATGTCAATTTCTCTTATCTCTTAATTCTTATACCATAAGATTTTAATTTATTTTTAAAGTTATATGCGTATATCTAGCACAAAGTCGGAATAATATCCAATTTAAATAGTTATTTTTTTGTTATAAATGTACAAAATAACAAGGAAAAAATAAACAATCTGTATCTGAAAAAAAAAATAAAATTAAAACTGTTTTGTGGAATAATTACCTCCCCAAATTCCGATCTTCAACTGCCCACGATCTAAATTCTCAACATAATCTCCAAGATATCTATTTAAGATATCTGCTACAATGCTCTCGAAAACCATTTTTCACGGAAATATACACTGAATTTAACTATGCAATATTTTTTGTTCTTTATAATCCTTAAATCATGATTTTACTCTTTATCCTCCAATAGTATATTGAAATACATTCATCAGCAACAACTGACGTAGCATGAACAGCACAAATCAATTGATATTTAAACTCAAAAATGTTAATACACTTTTCAAACAAAAAAATAGACTAGAAAAACTTCGTCTGACTTTATAAGAGCTTTTAACCCCCTTCGATGGGTAACGAAGATTATTTAAAGAATTCTAATATTTTCGAGCCGGTAAAATATTTTAAACTTGATTTTGTTAATTTAAGTTTATTTTTGAACTCAATCAATTTCTGATTTTTAAAAAAATTACAAAAGTGCTTGTGTTATTGATCGAAGGACTTCAGCGCATTTTTGATGCAGCGATCAGTATTTTTTAACCAACAAAATCCGTGTCAAAAAACAATAGCTCCAAGTATTTAAATTTGCATCGAATTTAATTAAAAATAATGTCGAAATACAATTAGGTAGCGATATTCATAATCATTCGACAAGAAATCGAGGAAATTTCACAATAAGAATGTGTCGTACTAGTCAAGGAGCGCAGAATTTTTACATTAGAGCATTTGCGGATTTCAATAATCTTCCACAGCAGATAAAGGATTTTCATTCATTGAGCATTATTAAAAATCGTTTGAGAGAGCACTATTTGGAATCGTATTTTGATGCTAATTAAATTTAATTGAATATGAAGTAATTTTTTTTTCTTCTCTCTCTGCAATAATTAATTTGTATAAATTTATAACACAACTTTAAGTTTGATATAAATAAATGAACTTTTAAACAAAACTAGTGTATCGGGTAGAAACCCAATGCGGATTATATTCACACCGTACTATCATAAGTCTTATGGATAGACCAAGATTTGCCCATCATAAGTATGAAGGTATGAAGCTTGATAAGTCAACTAAGCTTCGCTCAGCATAAGTTTGAAGTTATAAAGCTATCCCGTAAGCTAAGCTACGCTCAGCATAAGTTTGAAGATATGAAGCTAGAGAGGCAGCTGAGCTTCGCTCAGCATAAGTTTGAAGTTATAAAGCTATCGCGTAAGCTGAGCTACGCTCAGCATAAGTTTAAAGATATGAAGCTAGAGAGGCAGCTGAGCTTCGCTCAGCATAAGTTTGAAGTTATAAAGCTATCGCGTAAGCTGAGCTACGCTCAGCATAAGTTTGAAGATATAAAGCTATCGAGTCAGCTGAGCTACGCTCAGCATAAGTTTGAAGGTATAAAGCTTGACGAATATGCCAAATATTCTTTAAAAGTTTTTTAAAAAAAATTTTCATCCAAAGTTGAATTTTATAAAAATCACAGTCAACTTTTGTTTTAAAAAATTCGTAAGAAAGGAAAGTTTTTTGCCATTTCTGAAGCAACGGCTGTTCCTACCTTGCCCAAAAACAATACAGCTCTTCTATAGAGCAGCACGGATCAAATGTAAAAAACTAGAAGTCTCTACGATGTCTCGTTATTGAGATTTCTTGCTGATTAACTTGCTGAGAAAATCGCAAAATACGCTTTCTGTAAGCAAACAAGCAAGCAAGCAAGCAAGTTAATCAGCAAAAAATCTCAATAACGAGACATTGTAGAGACTTCTAGTTTTTTACATTTGATCCGTGCTGCCATATAGAAATGCTGTATTGTTTTTAGGCAAGGTAGGAACAGCCGTTGCTTCAGAAAAAGGAAAAAACTTTCCTTTCCTACGAATTTTTCAAATTAAAAGTTCACTGTGATTTTTTTTAAATTAAACTTTGGATGAAAAAATTTTTTTTGAGCAAAGAACCAAGTAAGAAATACAATTTCAATTTTGGACTAGGGGCGACCCTAGTCAAAATCAATTTTGTCACTTTTTTCTTCGAGGGTTTATCCAAATGGATTGAAACTTTGCATAAATATTCTAGTGCTTAAAACAAATACAAATAAAACATCCTAAATTTTTTTTGAGCAAAGAACCAAGGAGGAAATACATTTTCAATTATGGACTAGGGGCGACCCTAGTCAAAATCAATTTTTCACTTTTTTTTTCTTCGAGGATAAATCCAAATACAGTAAAACTTTGTATGAGCATTCTAATCCTCAGGTCACACATTTCTGAATTAATAAAAATCATTTTTTGGGACAAAATTTTAAGTCACGTTGTTTTTGAATGTACAACCAAATTTATAAAATTTGGGTCTGACGACATATAGAATACATTTCTTGCTTTAGATATTTAAAACTGTTTTGTATAAAAATTAGTATACTCACACAAAGTTTCACTGTAATTGGGTAAACCTTCGAAGAAAAAAAGTGAAAAATTGATTTTGACTAGGGTCGCCCCTTGTCCAAAATTGAAAATATATTTTCTACTTGGTTCTTTGCTCAAAAAAATTTAGGATGTTTTATTTGTATTTGTTTTAAGCACTAAAATATTTATGCAAAGTTTCAATCCATTTGGATAAACCCTCGAAGAAAAAAATGACACAATTGATTTTGACTAAATTCGCCCCTAGTCCAAAATTGAAAATGTATTTCCTTCTTGGTTCTTTGCTCAAAAAAAATTTTTAGATGTTTATATGCATTTGTTTTAAGCACTAAAATATTTATGCAAAGTTTCAATCCATTTGGATAAACCCTCGAAGAAAAAAGTGACACAATTGATTTTGACTAAGGTCGCCTCTAGTCCAAAATTGAAAATGTATTTCCTTCTTGGTTCTTTGCTCAACAAAAATTTTAAGATGTTTTATTTGTATTTGTTTTAAGCACTTGAATATTTATGCAAAGTTTCAATCCATTTGGATAAACCCTCGAAGAAAAAAGTGACAAAATTGATTTTGACTAGGGTCGCCCCTAGTCCAAAATTGAAAATGTATTTCCTACTTGGTTCTTTGCTCAAAAAAATTTTAGAATGTTTTATTTGTATTTGTTTTAAGCATTCAAATATTTATGCAAAGTTTCAATCCATTTGGATAAACCCTCGAAGAAAAAAGTGACAAAATTGATTTTGACTAGGGTCGCCCCTTGTCCAAAATTGAAATTGTATTTCCTACTTGGTTCTTTGCTCAAAAAAATTTTAGGATGTTATATTTGTATTTGTTTTAAGCAGTAAAATATTCATGTAAAGTTTCAATTTATTTGGATAAACCCTCGAAGAAAAAAGTGACAAAATTGATTTTGACTAGGGTCGCCCCTAGTCCAAAATTGAAAATGTATTTCCTTCTTGGTTCTTTGCTCAAAAAAATTTTAAGATGTTTTATTTGTATTTGTTTTAAGCACTAGAATATTTATGCAAAGTTTCAATCCATTTGTATAAACCCTCGAAGAAAAAAGTGACAAAATTGATTTTGACTAGGGTCGCCCCTAGTCCAAAATTTAAAATATATTTCCTTCTTGGTTCTTTGCTCAACAAAAATTTTAAGATGTTTTATTTGTATTTGTTTTAAGCACTTGAATATTTATGCAAAGTTTCAATCCATTTGTATAAACCCTCGAAGAAAAAAGTGACAAAATTGATTTGGACTAGGGTCGCTCCTAGTCCAAAATTGAAAATGTATTTCCTACTTGGTTCTTTGCTCAAAAAAATTTTAGAATGTTTTATTTGTATTTGTTTTAATCACTAGAATATTTATGCAAAGTTTCAATCCATTTGGATAAACCCTCGAAGAAAAAAGTGACAAAATTGATTTTGACTAGGGTCGCCCCTTGTCCAAAATTGAAATTGTATTTCTTACTTGGTTCTTTGCTCAAAAAAATTTTAGAATGTTTTATTTGTATTTGTTTTAATCACTAGAATATTTATGCAAAGTTTCAATCCATTTGGATAAACCCTCGAAGAAAAAAGTGACAAAATTGATTTTGACTAGGGTCGCCCCTAGTCCAAAATTGAAAATTGATTTTCTATGGTGTACTTTGGTCAAAAAAATTTTTTGGATGTTTTATTTGAATTGACATAATTTTGACATAAATCACATACCAATATTACTTTTTGTAATGCATAGCTTAAAAAAAATCGAAATCTAAAATTTCGACTACCCCATCTGAATTTTGTTCATACTCTTCACTGTTGAAACCAAAAAACAAATTCTTTATCTTAAAACACTTGACAAAATAGCGACATAATTCAGGATTAATTCCTTTTTAATAATATTTTAACATTAACGAGAAAATGTGGTTCAAATAAGTGTGAGCTATACTTGTTCATAGTGTTCCCAAGGGTGACAAAATTCAAACTAAGTGTTTTTGTAGCTGACATAATTATGACAAAAATTAGGTATAACTTTTGAACTGTGTCGATATGAGTCTCGGCCGTACTTCACGCCCACCCTTAAAATTTATGCTGAGCAAATCTTGGTCTATCCATAAGACTTTTGATGGTACGGTGTGAATATATCCGCATTGGGTTTCTACCCGATACACTAGTTTCTTCCTCAAGTCACTGGTTCAAATCTCACCGCAAGCAACTTTCTTTTTTTGCGTTTTTTTGATTTTTTTTTGGACTTTTTTGATAAAATATTAAGTTTTATGATAAATTTTTCCATTTTCATATTTTCTTTTTTCATTTTCCAAATTTTAACTTGTATTATAAATTTTTTCCATATATTTTCATACAAATTTAACTTTTTTTGTTATAATTTGTACACTTTTAAGTTTAATAAGCTAAAATTTGACATATAGGCTGGATGTTCTAAAATCGTAATTCTGGATCGTAATTTACTATATATTTCGACTTTTTGCGGTCTCGAATGAGTACGTCTATACTACTTTCAATATTTTATGCCATTTTATGATCGCAACTCTGGGGAGAATTGACTTGATCCACGTATTATAAACGATAAAGAATGCTAAGATAGATATAAAATCGATATTTTTTTGAAAATAGCCTACTATGATCGAAACCAAAAATGCTTTAAAATAATGCTTTAAAACATATCTAGGTATTATAAATGATAAAGAATGCTAATATAGATATAA